TGTGTGTGTGTGTGCGCGCGCGCGCGCAGGAGAGTGGGGGACGAGTTGGTGTATAACTAAACAAGGACTACCACAGATTGATCATTGCTAAATCTGGATAGACACGAGTTCATGTTATCATTTTCCTTACTTTCATGTGTTTGAAATTTCTCATTAAAAAGAGTGAAGACAAAAGCAAAACAACAGGGACTGAGGAACTGGGTCAAACGCCGATGGTGCCGACTGGTCAGTTAGAGTGGCTGTGACCCCGCAGCGGGCCGCGGTGGTGGTGCCAAGAGCAGTCTCGGCTGAGGGAGAACCTGTTGGCAGTGGGTTCGAGAGAATAGCAGGGAAGGATGAGTGAGCAAGTGCAATCACCTCCTTCGCATGTTGCAGGAAAGGGGAAAGAGCAATGGGTCAGACGCTGGAAGATCAAGGGGCCACAGGAAGTTGGTTACTGGGTTGAAGACAGAGTGATTACAGCCATGTTCCCACCACCATCCTTCACAAGCTATGCATAAACCCTCCCAGGCCCCTTCCCCATATTCCCTGTCCACACCACCCTGCCCCATCCATCCCACCCATCCACCAAGGCTGAGGTCACTTCCTGCCCCCTGCACCATCCCAACTGTCTGTGATGTCTTCAGGTGTAGTTCCCACCTAGGTGTAGAGTTTTCAGGAAAGTTTTATAGCATCGTGTCGGTTGCAGCGTGGCTCAGCTGGGGTCTTCGCAGCCCTCATCTTCAAGGTGTACCCGAGCACACGTGTGTTTCAACTCGATGAACAGTGCACGGTGCTCCCTGCGGCCTTCAGGAGGGAAGCAGGACTTCTACAGACACGGTGAAGCTTCTCATTCCTTCAGATCCTGGAAAACAGCCTTCTATAGTAGCAACGAAAACATCTTTCACTTCCCTTCTGCACTCCGACATGGCTAGAAGCTCCACTCACACTAAGGGTTCGGGAACTGGTGTTTATTTGTATAAGTCACAAAAGCCACAGCAGCCATCAAAGGACTTCTCTTTGCAAACAGCAGAAGCTGGGCGGGAGCAGGTGGGTAGCAGGAGCCTTCCAGGTTAAGACGTGGCAAGCTCAGCGAAACTGCACTAAATCGTAAGCCACCAGGAAAGCCGCTCCTTTCCTCGTGCCTCCCTCAGAGTGTGTCGGGGTCACTTGCTTCAGATTCTTCTGCTGAGAAGTGTCCTCTGAAGTACTCATTTTCCGTGCAAAGGGCAACAACACAGGGTCCTTCTACGCAGGATTAAACACAAGATGCATCACAGACGGCCTCTGAAGAAATGTCAGAAGTAAGAAGCGTAGTTGGTGCTTCTTACGATGAGGGTAGAGGGACAAAACTGTATGTTTATACGTGGCTGAACCGAGGCAGACAGCAGCAAACACATCTGGACTGAGTCACAACAGCATGTACAAAGGGGCATTTGAACTTCCTGCCCTAATTACTACCGAGTGCCCACTGTTGCGAAGCCCTGTGCTGCAGGTCACCGAGAGGACACAGTCCCTTGTCTGGAGGGGAAGCCAGGGGAGACCATCACAACACAGTGGGAGATCCAGGAGGGGATCTGGCAGGAAGGCCTCCTTGGTCCTGAGATTAAAGGAGGCCGGGGGTTTTGGGTACAGAAAGCAGGCACTCTGGGAATGGCAGGCACCCTGCTGCATCACAAAGCAGGCGTTAGATCAACTCCTGCACATACAGGCTGAGGCCAGATCAAGGAGGGCTTTTTTTTCTTAATATGTTTTTATTGATTTAAGAGAGAGGAAAAGAGTGAAACACCAATGAGAGAGAAACATTGGTCGGTTCCCTCCTGCAAGCACCCTGACTGGGGAAAGAACTACTGCTTGACCGAGAATAGAACCGGCAACCTTGTGGTGCACACAGGACAACACTCAACCAACTGAGCCGCACGGGCCAGGGCTCAGAGGGCCTTTGATGTCATGGGCCAGGAACCCTCATGGAGGAGGAGGAACAGGACCAGGTTCGCAGTACTGAAGGATCATTCTGGTAGCAGTGATCTAAGGGAAAAACAGACTGTCTGCCAGCTTCAAAATTGTGAAAACTGGTGCCTCTCTTGGTCAGATGTTGTCAAACTCTGTTTTCCTGTGTTGTATTTTGGTACCTCAAACAGCCGAGGGTTTCATTTTGTTTGGCTGTTTTCATTCAGCTCATCTCACTTTTCACCTATACGCCTTACGTCACAAGAGCACAGTATAATCAAGTGTTGTGAGGTGATTTTACTGTGGTCAACTCTGGCCAAACAAGTGAGCTGCAGCTGTGGAACCAGGGGCTGCTTCTTCCCCAAGAGTCTTCTGGCCCCCTGCCCACTTACCAGTTCCTGTTAGGAATTCCACCTATGCAATCACACTGGTCTGGGACAAAGTTTTCACCAGTTTGGGGTGAAATGTAGAAGCAAAGGGCAGTGTAGCAAGTCTCTCATAAAACAACTTGTTCTACGTAAAGGCATGTCTTGTCTTCCGAATTATGCCCCATTTCCTGTTTGGGTGTTAAGATTCCCTTTATTGTATGAAATGATGGCAATAAAATTTTTTGGTAAATACCCCGACATAGCCAAATATTGGCAATCCAGACCTATGCCCTGATTTTGGGGAATGTGAACTTCTCTGAGAAGCCGAGTGCCTCCACCCCCTTACTCCATGCACAGGGTCAGGAGCGGGGTCCAGGCAGGGAAGGGGCACAGCTGGGTCCGCCAAGGCTGACATCGACCAGCCGAGGCGTCGGAGTTGACAGCTAACCACAACAACCAGGAAACTGCTGGCCCAGTGTGTAATCTTATCACTTATTTTGTCCTACTGACATCTTTGGAATTTAGCATCTTAATGAAAATACTAAACTTTTCATGGCCTCCACACATTTAAATACTGTTAAATAAGTGGTTAAATAAGGTCCTTAAAATGTACTTACTTCTCTGCTAACAACCTTGTCTCCTTATTTTGGACAGAGGTGTTTGATGCCTATTACTTGTTAGTCCCAAAGAAACAGTGTGAACAGTCGGCCCGGCGGTAAGCAGCCCTCCATGCAGGCGGGAACAGCCTTTTAGGAGCACCATGCAATCACTCAGGCGCCGAGACAGAAAGACCCACGTTTTTGTCTCAGCGCACAACTTACAACTATGTTATCTTAGGTTACTTGACCCTCTGAAGGCCAGGTTCCTCACCTAGAAAATGAGGTTAATAAGGTACCCATCTGCACAGAGTGGTTGTATTTAGGACAGTCTTTGTGCTTGGCAAATATTCAGTAATGTACGATAGGACACTTAATAAGCATTGTCTCATACAAGAGTCATGTTAGACCTGGAAAAGTTGTTTTTGATCATCTGGTCCAATCTGGGCATTCTGTAGATGAGGGAGGGAGGGGAGAAACGAGTTCTAGAGAAAACACAGATCCAGTGAGAGTCAGTCTGGACTTGGTCACTATGTCTAGCCCAGGGTTTTCTCCACCACATTAGTTTTCTCCATCTGAAAGTATTTGGCTCTTGACTTTCCAGGTTTTCTGACCAGAAAGAACTGTAGATGTAGTTCAAAATAGTGGTATCATTTAAATATTTAAAGATGGCAAATTCGATGCTGCAAAAATGTTGGTCACTACTTTACTTTAGAATATTTATTGCTGAGTATTTTTAAAAAATTAAATGCATTAAAAATAATGTAACAACGCCTTGGCCGGTTTGCCTCAGTGGTTGGAGCATCAGCCTGCTGTCCGGAGAGACCCGGGTTCAGTTCCTGCTAAGGGCATGTACCTCGGTTGCAGTTTGTCCCCGGCCCTGGTTGGGTCATGCAGGTGGCGGCCACTTGATGTGTCCCTTTCATGTCAATGTTTCTCTCTCTTCCTCTCTCTCCCTCCCACTCTATCTGAACAAAAAATGGAAAAAAAAAAAAAGTCCTCAGGTGAGGATTAAAATAAAATAAAATAAAATAAAATAAAATAAAATAAAATAAAATAAAATAAAATAAAGCAACAAAATATCTACCCATACAATAGAGTGCTAAAATGAGGTGGGTGAACAGATTATACTTAAATTCATATGAAGATGTGTGTGTCTCCCTCTCCCCCCCCCCCCCGCCCCTCTCTAAAAACAAAAGGTGCAAACTATACCTCCTATACCAATCAAATGTCTTGGTTTCTCAGGAAGAAAAACAGGATTTTCCAATCTTTATGCTAATTTTTAGAATGTGACACCAAATAGATTAGGCTGGGTATGGGTGACAGGGAAGGATTAGATGCCAGCCAACAGAAGGGACATAAAATCATCAGTTCAATAAGAGGATACAAAGGCATCTTCACAAGTGATACAAAGTAGATACACTTTCTGTTATTTTAAGTCAGTAGTTTTATTACAATGCACACTGACGTACAATTAGAGAAGGAATGTCCTGGCATTTTCTGAGCATTTCACAGAAACAAATGTAACCATCCAGGCAGTCAAGTCATCCGTATCTTTCCAAACACAATGCCAAAGCTTTATATGTGATAACTCAGAAAAGCAAAGTTTTCTTATTTTTGCTACAAAACTTCGTGTTAAAAAACAGTTATTGCGAAGTGGGCTGAGAAGGGAAGTATTTCCTTCCTGATGGTCCAAACCCTGGCTCTAGAACCACCTCCTCCCTACCTGCCCCCTACTTTCTAGATGACTTTTTATGATACTGCAGATGGTAGCGTGTGTTCAGGGGCTAAAGGGGTCTAATTATAAGACCAACTATTATACTTCACTATAATTGAAAAGAAAGGAAAAACTAAGAAAGGTAACTGCTGGAAAATGCACAAAGGCAAGGAGAAAATATCTGGGTGCATTAAAAATGAGATGCTCTTTTCACATAACTCATTTAAAAGGTTACAATTACCATAAACATTTAACTCTATTAAAGATCACTGGCAAAAGTTTGCTCTTACATCAGCAAAAGGGCCCTGCATTTACACAAGCTCGGGAGAAAGCAACGTATGGTGTGAAAAGTCATCAATCCTGGTGAAGGAGATATCAGACTGTTTGCAGTTGCATAGGAGTTTTTTTTAGATCTGCTTTGTACAAGATACTGTGGAACCTTGACAATTTCCATCTTTCCACAGTCATGTGGCAGTTGGATGTTTTGATCCCTTCAGCACCCAAACACACAAAAGCACTCTAGGAGAGAAATCCAAAAATGGCATTTGGGATAAATTCACTATACATTTTATACTTGGGGACAACAAAAGAAAATGCCTGAGCACGATACCATCTCATATAGAAAAGCACTGCAAGAGAAAACTTTGCTTAAAAACATTAAAACTCAGGTGAATAAAAATACACTTTTGGTTCATCTGTGCTATAACATATAGAATATCATGTCAGATATTCAGTCTATTAGGCAAGTCGTTTGGATTTTCATATCTGACTGGACTAGTAGAATAATATTCACTGTTGCATATACTCACATATATATGCATAGACGTATATAAAGTCCAGATCATGAAAAACTTTAAATACATACTTAAAACCTGTACCTCTAAAAATAAATATATTAGCCTCTAATCGGTTATATCTTAGTTCCTTCAAAAACCAATCAGAACAGTTTCTCAACAAAGGTAGGTGACCAATTTAGCTGCTCTTTAAATCCATTATCTACCAGTACATGTTTTTAAATTCAGACATACAACAGAAATAGCATTCCCAGAAGAAAACGAAGAGAGAATTCTGGCTGTGGAGAGGAACGTCTCGGCCTCTAGATGTTCAGTCTGCAGCTGCCTGCTCTCTGATGTGCGTGGCAGTGGAGAGGACTTTCTCATGACAGCGTTCTCTTCCACTGGCGCCACTTTCTAATCAAAGGAGTCAGCTGGCATTTCCTTTGCTGTTTTGTTTGAGGGAACTAACACAACACTGCTTGTGTTTGATATCACTCCTTTCATCACAGTGAGCTGTGTGTTTCAATGCAATGTACAATGTGCTGACACCATAAGGTAAAGCAGTCACCCTGGCATTTAAGAAGATGTCTCCCAGGAAACAATAGGTGAAGTATCTAAGCTCTAGGAACAAACTCAAAAGCACTGCCCGAATGGACACTGGAGATCTGACACTGTAGTTCAAACAACAGAAGCAGATGCAAATACTCGACACACTTCCTTTAGAAAGGACGTAGTTCACAAAACGGAGCTTTACTTTTCCACTTTTACATTTCCAAAAAAAACTTCTTAAAATGATAAAGCCAGACCAAGTTGTTTAATATAGACAATACTTAACAACCTTGTCATTTGTTTTTGAATACAAGAATCTCAGAAATAGAGAAAATCCATGATAAATGATAGGAAGAATGTTTAACACTAGCCTAAAGTTTTTAAAAGGAAAATTTTAGCTGAATGACAACTTCTAAAAAAAAAAGTGTTCTAGGTGCTCACAGTTCCAGATCGCTAACTTTATAAATTAAAGGTAGAAGTTATCCATATATAAACAAGGCCTCTTTTTCATTGATTTCAATCTTGTTCAAACTTTTGGATATTTCAGTGTTCAGATTCCACAAGGTAAGGCTAAGTTTATTAAGTATAAATAAAATGTTTAAGTCCATGATGTATTTATTGTAGCACTAAGAAACAAATACGTCAAATATTTACAGCCTGGCTACAATACCTTTCTTTAAAAAAAAATTCAAATGTGTATCCATATCCAGTCACATTCTTTGTTGAATTTCTCTGGCTGCAAATGGGGTGAGAGTATTTCTCCTCACTCATCTTTCCTCTCAATCCTGAAGTCAGGCAGGACTTAGGTCAAGGGGCGCGGTCTTTTGGGAGGTGGTGGAGGCATGAGCTCTGTGTCAGGGTCCAGATGATGCTTTCGTTTCTGTCCCTGAGAAGCTGCTGCACATCTGTCAATGAACTCAAACAGAATCTCCTTGGTGACAGGGTTTGAGATGCTGTTGCACACAGCTGTGGACAAAGGGAGACACGTGTCTCACGTGAGGGTTAATTAAGGCAGCTGACTCACCACAGGGAGAGGAGAAAGGGGAAAGGTTTTCATCCCAGTAAGGTCAACACTTCCATTTTACCGACTTGAGTGACATGCTTCAGATTAAACTGTTCTCCTCCCTCCCCCACCCCAAAATGAGTGTTTTTCCAGTGGCTATTCTTCACTGCGCTATTAATTTTAGACCAAAACTTTAAGTACTTGGGTTACAAGCATGTATTCTCACCATGGCTTTCTACCCCTCCAAAACAGTTTTTACAGGATTTCAATCTAGAATAGTGCATCACACTACAGACCATATTCAACTAAAATTCACACACAAAAAATACATGCTATAGTCCTTCGGTCTTTCTCTCAGAAAACAGTCCACACTGAGAATAGCTCAGCATCAGCCACCATTCCCACTGGATAAACAGGTTTCACTGTAGCTGGCAGGTAATATTATCACCGTTTAATAACTTGTTTGAAGTAAGGTGTTATAACAAAATTACTAATGCATAAAGCATCTTTTCTTATGTGATCAAAATTTAGTACCAGTCCTCTTTGCTTTGGGGGGAAAGAAAGACTGGCTTAATTATTTCAATTTTCATAATTAATTCATCTTGTCTGAATAGATCTGCTAGTTCCAACAAGAACCTTTAAATGTATTAACAGTAACTTTTAAGCTGCAAAACACAAATTGGCAATTTCTATATTTTCTCATAAGCTTATCATATAATCATCAGCACCAATGACTGAACACTCTAAAAGTGCACGATTCCACTGACCTTTAATTTTGGTTTTTATCTGTTTTTTTTCCAATTCCCCTAAAAATGCAGTCCAGAGCAACTGCACTGATGTTTCTATAAACCTGAGGAATTTGTGTTGTTCCCCATGGAAGAAATTTACTATTCTGAATTCCCAAAGTATTCATATTGTACCCGAAGAACACTCCAAAGGACTGAAGAGTAGGTTTTAGGGTGTGTTTTTTTAAAAAATGGCTTTCATTCACTTTGTTCTCCATTATTTATAAAGCTATTTTAGGAGCTGGAAATCACATTTTCCCCTGCTAATTTTGTCTTTTACCATCTGGCAAATAATGGTTATAGTTTTGAATAGAACTAAAATTATCATGGCTTTTGTTGTTGTTGTTCAACAAATTCAACTTGTATACAGCCCATTATCCTGCCCTTTACACTTCTCTCTTGGACACATGGGCACAAGCCCACAGGTCTATCTAAAGAGAAGACCGTACAAACCAACTGGAGCCACCAGGGACAGACCTGGTACAACCTGATCCCAGTGAGCAAGGCGGGGATCCGAGGACTGCCCATTAAGCAGAACACCACAGACTGCACATGTTGGTTCTAACACCTTCACTTTTTTCTTTAATGTAACAAGCATCAGTGGATCGTCATACTCACCCATGGCAGTGTTGTAGGCATTAGGAAAACTTTTGTCTGTTCTCTGTCTCATGAAGACCCAGCTGTTGTTCTCAAATTTGCATTCTATAATTTTGTTGTCATACTGTTTTAGCTCTTTTGTCACCTGGTTTAAAAGAGAATCGAGGGAAAGCATTTAAATCATTTGAAAGGATTTTGCTTCCACTATGTGAAAGACATACACTAGAAAATGCCCAAATACCACGAGTAGCTCTTCATGCAGAGCTCTCTGTCATCTGAGGTGTCAATCAAGCCCAAGGCTATGGTGTGTGCTCCCTTGTACACATGCTCATTAATCTGACATTTTATAAACAGTTGTGAAAAACAGCTGTCAGTATAAAGCAATTAAAAGAAGCTAAGCAGAAACCAGGCACTTCAGGGCCAAAGGCAAATATGTTACCATAGGAATCAATGTCTTCAATATTGTCTGTATCCCTACGGCTTTCAGGAATTGAGTCTGTTGCTTACATTTCATCAACTTTTAGAAAGGTCTAAATTCCTACGTCAAATCCTAAGAAATGCCATTTACTAGTTAAAAGAAAAGGTTACACATAAAAAGTAACATTAGAATCACATTCAGGCAATGTGCATCCTAAATATCTTGCTTTTCAAACAGTGATAATTAACCAACAATCTAATCTTTAGGCTATTTACCCTTTTACCTCCAAACGAGAATGAATTTAGAGATGAAGCTACTTTTGATTTTAGTTGGTAGGTTTTTTGGCTACTTCACCTCAGATGATTAAATATGGATTACAACTTACTCCATCAAAGCTAACAAGTATCCATGGTAACTGTAAAACCTTTTAAAAGTTATTTCATCAGGCTGTGAGAACAGTTTTCATAAATAGGAACCTAAGCTTATCTTTGCAGTTTTCAAATCAAATGCCAGTCATGGTAATATTTTAATTCTGTCCTCATCTTTCTCAGCTAACAACTTTTCCTCACAATATGGTAGATTGCAATCATTTAACTTCATTAGCATTATTTGAAATGCTCTCATTTTTCTATCCACATATTCACTACCACCTAGAAATATGAAGAAAAACAAATTTTAAAAGATGCTTTCAATACACAGATTAGACAGTGCATGTCTTCATAAAAACTTTCAAATTGTATTCCTTTTCCCTTAATGAGTACCACACTAGATTGGACTATTTGCATTTTCAACAGGTCTAATACATTCAGTGGCTGTGGAACCAGACCTGCCCCAAACAGTGATGTTTCACTTAACAAACTTGTTCAATTAATTCTCAAATGTTCATTGTTCTAGTTTCAATTCCCCTTCAATTTTTCCAAGGATATACCTCCTTTTATTTTGATAAATTATTTATATTCAAGTACTAGGCAACTCATTCAGTTAGGTAACCCATTTCTATTAAGCCATATGTAGGCTCTAACAGAGGTTAAGTTTCTAAACATTTCAGTTTCCACTGTCTAACTTCTAAAATAGGCAAAGGAATTTCTAATTGACTGAGATACTGGAACAGTAGTAAGTCAAAGTGCCTGGCACATAGTAGCCAACCAGTAAACTTTGTAATTAAATATAAAACTAGGAAGTGAAACATTGCTTATTTTTTTTAAATACCTTACAAGGAAATTCACTAAAAAAAACCATGATGACATGAAAGGTACACTTTGGAAACATCTGTCAAGAAAATTGTATCTTATGCATTTTACATCCACAACATACAGTCTGCACTTTTACTGACTAGCAATTGTAACAAGTCTTTATCATTTGGCTTATTATTCTTATGTTCCTAGTTTCAGAACTGCTATAAATTATGTGTTACTCAATTTGACCACAACAATTAAGCGGTATTATTAACTGTGTATCTACTTGGGCATGCATTAACAATATGGAAAACAGAGCTTTCCAGAAAATGCATACACTTTCCACTATACTAACCTAAACTTATTTCCATGTTCAAGAACAGTACATTGTCCTTCATTGATCACACCAGTTATATTGCCAAGATAGACACACTGCAAGGTACTTATTTGGGTAGGTGGTAAATTATATTTAACTTATTAAAATAATACCTCCCATATGTGCACAAATTAGGACAGTTTTCACTAATAATCAGATGAAGAGAGTGATTGGCATACAGTGGAGGAGTTCAATTTTAGTATCCAAATTCTAATTTATTACTATGACAATAATCATCCCGAGCCTATTACATATTGTTTATTAAAACAGGACCCCATTAGGATTTCTATAATAAACTCTCGTTATCCTAGTTTGAGTTAATAAGAACTTGAAAATAGTAAGAATAAAATACTTATAAATCAGAATTTCACATCTGTATCTATAATTACATTGCACTGGTGACATTTTATGTTGTTTTAAAAAAGAAGAGCAATAGATAGTGTATTATTTTATATTGAAAAATATTTTTTTATGTGCATATTTTATTGATTACCACACTTTTTATACTATTTGAATCTATCAACGATCTGGGGTTGCAATAGTCAGATGAAACTGAATCTAATACCTCTGAAGATTTTAAATTAGCAGCTCAATGATAATACCTGGAATGAAGGGCCCAATGCAAAGGCAAGTAGAATCACAGTTGCTCCGCTCTGCACTGTTTTTACAGAATACTTTTTGTAACCTAGGTGCTGGGCAAACTACCAAGTCACAAAAGACAACCATCAATCAGTGTTGGCTAACTCACCTGTGTGGATCCTGAGAAAGAAAAGACCTACTAAAAAAGGCTCCTGGTGGCTAACAGGGCTTAAATTTAAAAAACAAAACAAAACAAAAAACCCAGCCTAGTAGCCCTTTCTATAAAGGGGCTTTTCATGCAAACTGTGCTTCAGGGAGAAGCCTGCACTGAACTGCCCACCTGCACTGTTTCTGCCATCTGATTCAGCACTTATAAAGGAGTTCCTGGAATCCTTTTTCAACCAATAGGACTGAAGCTTTCCCCATCCAATGGGAGCTGCCCAGCTATATCCCCCCCCCATCAGCTTCTTCACTGACCAATCAGAGCGAGTTGCTCCTTTCTGACCAATCAGGACAGTGCCTTTTGGACCAATCAAACTGTGAAAATTTGGAGTCTTCATTTGCATGAAGATGAACCAATCAGGTACTAGGGGTGGGGAGTTCTGTCTATATAAGTCAACTCCCTTTGGCTCTGGGAGTGCACTTTCCCTTTCCACCAAAGACTGTGTTTCCCTGGCTGGAGCTGAAACACTGATGATGTCTCACTGAATCAGAGTAGAGGAAACCAGCAATGAACTAAGTAGAGGTATCTAGCTCAGTGATTTTCAACTTTTTTCATCTCATGACACACATAAACTAATTACTAAAATTCTGTAGCACACCAAAAAAAGAAAGAAAAAAAAAAGTCAATCTGACCAAAAAAAATATATATATATATATATATTTTTATTGTTGTGTAGGCTGTTGTCACTTTTTTGATAATCTATGGGAAAAGAGGTCAGTGTCCCTGACTAAATAGTCAGGTATTGCATCTTTTTAAAACTCCTAAGGCACAATGGTTGAAAATTGCTGGTCTAGCTGGAGAGGGGCCTGTCCCCAGGGCCACCTCACATCCCTGCTGTTTTCACAGCCATGCTGTATCACAATTCAGAGGTTTTGCACTGAATACAGCTTCCTTCTTCATTGCACCCCCAACTGGGGATTCCTGCTGGTGCTGAATTGATGCCAATAACCATTGAAGGGACACCTACACAGAGTAGGCAAAAATGCATTTCTATTTCCAGTGGTGGGACAGAAGTCTCTAGAACGTATGCCCTTGCTCTGTGCCAGCTGTTTTCTTATCAAGAGCTCATCTTTCTTTTAGAGAAACTGTACATAGGCTTGAGGGGAGGAGGATTTCTCTAAACTAATTTGCTCTGGAGACATTCTCAAATAATATCCTTAGAATTGAAAAGTCACCAGTAAATTTTTTTTTAACTTTCAACTTTGAAATACTTTTAGATTTATAGAAAAGTTGTAAAGGTAGCATAGAAAGTTCCAGTATCCCAGTTACCTTTAATGCTCATATTTTACATATCATGGTACATTTATCAACTCTAAGAAATTAATACTGGTACAACAGAATTAACTAAACTACAGACTTTATTCAGACTTTATCAGTTTTTCCACTAATGTCTTTATTTGTTCAAGCACCAATCCAGGAAACTTGATTGCATTTAGTTGCCAGATCTCCATGTTCTCTTCTGCTCTGTGACAGTTTTTTAGACTTTCCTTGACACTTTTGGAGAGTACTAATAATATATTTTGTAGGATATTCCTCAATTTGGGGTTTTCTGATGTTTTCTTATGATTAGACTGAGGTTATGAATTTTGGGGAGAAATGAGAGGCAAAGTGCCCTGCTCACTGCCTTGCTCTCTGCATACTATCTGAGGTATATGATATCAACATGGTTTATTACGGGTGACATGCACCCTGGCCACTTTGTGAAGATGGTATCCACCAGGTTTCGGTGCTGTGAAGTTACTATTCTTCACCTTTCCATACTCTGCTGGTTAGTTACAAGTCACCACGTCCAGCCTCATTCAACAAAAAGGGAAGTAAACTCCACTTCCTGAACGGAAAGGTATCAAAGAATTTGTAGATATTTACTAAAACTACCACAAACATTAATAATTTTATGGACAGAGAGATTTCAAGGCTATACAAACATCCTGTTTCTCCTTGAACTTTCACTCATTAATTTGAGCATTCATCCGTGAATCGTGCCTGCAGCAATCATTACTGTGGTGTTCTAATGGAATAGTCTCCTTTCTCCATTCCTTCTACATTTATTATCTAGACTTCCTGTAAGGAACATTTGTCTCTTCTCCCTCATTTGTTTATTTGCTTAATTATATCAGTATAGACTCATGGGTATTTATTTTTTTCCTTTAGTTTAAAACGTAACACTATTGTCATCTATTTTGTTACTCAAATTGTTCCAGTTGTGGCTACTGGGAACTCTCTCAGGTTGACTCCTGTGTCCTGTTAATTTGCTTCCACTTTTACTTACAAAATGTATTTTTAGCATTTACTTCTGGCAATACAGCTATACTAAGAAAGTATTGCCACTACTTGTTTTAATTGGAATTTAAAATTATTTTTTGAGATTAAGAGA